ATTAATAAACTAGTAACTAGTTTTAATTTTTAAATTGTGCCTTAATCATGCATTGAACCTTTGTATTCAGATATTTATTTTTTTTACCATCAAATTATAACCTAGTAACTCTTAGTGGGTTTCTTCGACTAAGCTTGGCATTGGCTTGGGCTTGAACTACCGGGCGTCCGGTAACCCACAGTGAACGTGTTAACAGCAATAAACAGTATTTAAGTATGAAAATATAGATATCTCTAACTAGCTTCTTATTTAAAAAGCTAGAGATCTTTAAATAACAGATCTCTTTCGAAAAAAAAGAAAAGTCCTTTATGGCCTTAAAAATGTATTTAAACTCTGAGATTGTGTGATAAGTGCTATTAATAAGTTTAAGACCATCAACCGCCGCGCCGGCGCCGTTGCGTTTGGGGGATGGGGGAGTGGAGTGGGCCCGCGACAACGATTGCCCAGGGGCCCGAGATTTCTCTCTGCGGGCCTGTACTATAGTATAACACTTAAACTGAAGTAATTAGGACACTGAAAAGCTGTTCAAATACCAGAAAGATGATGGTATCAATAGCCTCAAAAAGTTTATCTTGGATGTTGTTACTAGGTGAAACTCCAGGTTCTAATGTTAGAACGATTGGTGGAGCTTCAGGAGTCCATAAGAGCCAACCTGGCAACATCAACAAAGAGTTTGGTCCACTATCCTTTGATATGTGGAAAACTTACTTAGAGCTTTTTAATGTTGTGTTGCTAGCCTGGTGGTTGGCGTCTCGGACTTCGGTGCGGGAGGGACGGGTTCAATCCCCGGCACATCCTCTAAACATTTATTCGCTCGTGACTCTCTCGTAAAATGCCACTGACGTAGAAAAAAAAGAAAACAAAGGTCCTGAAACCATTTGAACAGGTCACCAGGAAATTAAGTGGGGAAAGCTATGTTAGTGGAGGCCAGAAAATTCTTTTGACCACAGGACTGACAGATGTTTGTCTTAACAGCTTTTATGAAGGCATTACATCCTACATCTGTTGAATTTTTACAACAATTGCAGGTAAATACTTTTCGATGTTATCATCACGTGTTAAAGGGGTTTACCACAAAACAGAATGTTAATATGTATTACTCTGTACCTATGTATCTATATAATTACAGTAATACGCTAACACTAAATTTTTCCTTTGAACTCCTCCGTCATTTCTTTACCAACTTTGACCATTCATGTCTCATTGGAAAGAACGTGTCACGTAGATTTACAAACTGGTCTTAAATTTTTCTAAAAGTCCTTGGCCTCTGCTCCAGTGGCTTTTTAACGTTCCCATGTTATCCTTATGAAGAATATATTTGTTTACATTATTATCAGCTGGATAATTTAATTAATGTAAACATTTATTTGTGCAACTAAAGGAAAAGCAGGTATAAACGTTTACTGATTTGTTTGAAATTAAATATTTACTATTTGAATTTGGATTTGCATATACATATTACAATGAAAAATAAAAAAGCCTGGACAATTTGGTATATTTCGCCAAATAAGAAAAATTAATTTACCTAGTACTGTATTTAACATTTGATTAGCATCAGGTCTCTTAACTCTGCATTTTGCAAGTGGGTGTTTACGGGAGTTTAATAGGGTAAAAATAGGGTTTTCCAACTTTTGACAAAAAAAAACATAAAATTTGGCAATTTCTTTCCAAACCATTTTGTAGAGCTTAAAAACACTAAACCTGCAGGTTTGCTGCAGCAGGGGTATTATGTATTTTTTTTCTATAGCTAAATAAAAGTTAAGTCAATGTTATCAACCATAGAAAAGATGCTCTATTAAAATATACTAGCATTTAAATAATTTGTTCTGTTTTTAGACAGGAGTATTGCAACGATTTCCAAATATTGAATCATACAATATGATTGTCACGTATTTCTTGTTGGATCCTCGATTTAAACTGTACCCATTCACGTCTGATGATTCAGCAAGAGGCGGAAAAGAACATATAAACAACTTGGCTATTGCTGAGCACAGCAAACAAAGAGTTGAGGAAAACAAATCTTGAGAAACTGAATGATTCTTTAAGACCATTTAACTGTAAGTCAATTAACTACCTTAAAAACATTTGTTTATCATCAATATTATGCTTAACAAGTAAAAATTGTCAAACAAAGTCAAGACAGAGATTTAAAATTAATCCCTCTCATTGTATTTTAGTATATGAAATGGTCTGTGATACGAAAACCTAAATTTATAGCCAACATATCAACAACAAGAAAAACAAAAGTAAAAAATAAATAAAAACAAATGTTTGACTGCAAAATAAGTTTAGATCGTAATAGTTTCCTAATCTCAAAAATTGTTTATTGTATTGAGCATTTGTAAGATTTCTATATCACTTTATTGCTAGTGCTTTGATATGGTTTGAATAATTATACTTTATTTATAGATACGACCCTGATAAGGATGCATTACTATCTGAGATTGCCTTTTTTGACGAGATGATTAAGAAGATTCAACATGAAGGAACTTCAACTTCAAGTGCCATTGTTGAGCTGCAGCGCTTTCTTGATGAACCATTGGACATTGGACAGGAAGAGAACCCAATGTAATGGTGGTGCCAAAATTGTCACTTCTACGCAATTTTTCAAGAATTGTTATGAACAAGTGCAATATGGTCGCTACCTCGTTTCTTTGTGAACGCATATTTTACAAGGCTGGGGAAGTTATTTCTGAAAGAAGCACACGGCTTGAATCATCAAAAGTGCGCAATTTATTATTTGTTTAGTGCTACCGACTGGTTATATGACTATGCGATATAGCTAGACATAGTTTCCTTTACAAGACTGACATATCGTTCTCATTATTAATTATTTATGTTAGCATGTTAACTAAGGTTACCATGCTATTCAAAATTTGTTTATTTGTTTTGTTTGTTTGTTTTTATCGAATTTTCCATACAGGGAATAATCTAATATTTTATATTTGACAGATAAGTAAATGCATTAGAGGTTTTAATTTGCGTAATAAGCAGAGGTTTATTAGATGTAAACAGTTTTTTTTCGTTTATTTGATTTAGTAAATATTTTAAGATAAGTGTTTACAAATTATTAGTTATGATTTTGTGTTTGCGCTACGAGGTAGATGTCCTTTAAAGGCTGATAGTTGTTTTGACTGTTTTTGGCTAAGGTTACCATGCAATTTAATGATAAAACATGTGTCCTAAGAACCCGATGTCAAATATAGACCAGTAAATTAGAAAACATGAGATTGACTATTATAACATCAAGTCTTTTACAATGGCTCAGCTTTAAAAAAATGAAAATAGACCTACCGTACTATTTTAAATGAAAATTTGTCATTTCACTATTTTTCGCTGTGTCAGTAGTGCGTGTTTATAGGCCTAAAATGTTGGTTTCAATAAAATAACAAGGTTGTGCACAAGATGTTGTACAAATAGCACCAACACTAAACTTGAGTATAATAAAATGTTATTATATAATTTGTTTTATCACGACACATTATTTTAGACCTTGTTTTTTAATAACATTAAAATTTTATATACAGTAATTATGTGGGCCTTTCTTTATTTTGTTTACGTCTTAAACAAATTGAACACCACGGCAATGCTCGGTCCCCTAGTACTGTTATTTAAATATTTAGAAAAATATTAAATCAGGCAAAATGAAATTCACTTAGTCTGCAGGTTTTCTGCGGCGGAGGTATTATTATTTATTTCCTGATGAAAAGTAATTTTGATTCTTTATATACTCGTATAACATTTGAGACATACCAAGGTCCGGGTAAAATTTGTCTTAGGGTTTTGGATTAAATCTTCGATTTATCTCTATGTTGGAGTTTGAATAGGTTCCCATAAGCTGGATACCATCGAAATAGGTGGCAATATAATTTAGTATATAATAAATTTATTTTCAACAGGCAATTTTTCAAGAATATTTCTCCTTTAAACTTACCACTGATAACTTTTTTGGTGTAATTTTTTAAATCGTCAGTCTGGTAACGTTGCACAGCTTAGGTGGATTTAAGTTTCGCATTAGTATTATGTGGTGGGTTAGCGAAAAATTGATCAAGGTTGTTATGATTTACATATTTAACATGGAAGAATTTAAACTTTGTTAAATGCACAGGTGTGCTGCGATTGGGGTTTAAAATATTTGGACTTTTAAACAGTTAAATAGTTTTCTGTGCTGCACTCTGTGGAAACATTGTGGCGCTATTTGAAAATCATGACTAATACAGAATGTTGTAATTATTCAAACCTACAAAACAGCTGGTAAAAGTAAACATCTGCTTTTAAATTATATTTAGTTGTTAACATTGTAGTTCAAAAAGTCTGTCATTGGTCCACTTTTTTTCTACGCCAAAAATCCAAGCAAAACTAAGACTGTTATGAACTCAATTTTTTTGAAATGCTGAAATTTACATTTTTATAACAATATATAGTTTGTTAAAAGTAAAACAGAAAGGGTAGACAGTTGTTTGAAATAGCTACATTAATACTTTATGAAAAAGAGTAACCTAGACGCAGTTACTAATATTTTGCAAAAGTGGGTTCTAAGGACTGAAGTAATTGCCAACATATTGTGTGGTAATATGTTAAGCACAGGCTGACTCGATAACTTTTATTTTTTACAAATCGCGTGAAAGTTTATCGTACACATTACATAAAACAACGATAAAAAGCTCTGTCGTGTTTACTTTTGTTATCTAACAATTAACAGATAGGTTAAAGCCAATAGTGTAAGTATTGACCGTGTAAAGCCAGATATCGTAGCTATCACTAGGCTTAATGCCAGGATATACTTCTGCGGCTATGCAAATTAAATCTTACAATTTGGCAATCATATTAGCCAAAGTTGTAAATAAATCATAAAGTTATTAATTGATTAAAAAATAATTGCTCCAAAGATAACCTTGAGAAGTGTGACACTTAATCCATACTCAAGAGTCTAAGAATGTTGTAAATGAAATAATGCGATTGACTCGAGTGTAGCAAAAGGTATAAAACTGCTGAGCCACGGTTAGTTGCACAGTGTGACAAGAGTGGCGGTGACAATGGCCAAGTCGGTGATCGTTTTGAGCTTCCTTCTCACGGGTTACTGTCAAGGGTCCCCCCTTCCTCACAAAGGTAAGGGGATACAAACGTTATATAGTTATTGACTCGTATACACGACAACCTACCTTAGTCTAACATACATAAAGATAATACACAACAAAACCAGATAAATATAAATAATTATACTAAATTTGTTTCTAAAAAGAATTTTTGCGATATAATTCTAAATTTAACTACAAAAGTCGTTAAAAAACAAACAAACTTTATCAGCAAAGTGACGCATACTTGTCCCATTAACTTGTCAACAAAACTTACAATGGGTAAGCGGTGGGAGTAATGAGAAAGTGAAGTAACGAGTGGTGAGTAAGGAGAAAATCACAAACATTTCAATGACTTTTGAACCGTACATTTTACAGCGTTGAGGGTTGAACCATTTTTGTTGAAAAAATTTTTTTGCGTTACAAAGACCATGCTATATATATTTTAATCAGCTTTATTATTCTTTATCGTATGATGAGTGCAATCAAGTATACTATCAAGTGTTAGATTAAGGCGATACGGCTCATGTTGTGGTTGTATTAGTGATTGTATTGTTAGTAAAATAAATGACTAGCAACAGAATCCGGTGTGGTATAATACAACGGGTTCTAGAAGTAAAAAAATCAAACTTATTATTTACAAATATACGTGTATGAAGCCTTCAATTGACCTATTAATTAAATAAGTCGGTCAAGTAGAACTGTAGATTTAAAAAGTTTAACAAATTTATATCTAACTCAGTATTTTCTCACCACTATAAATTCGGAGGTTGCTGTGCTTTTAACAACATTTAAATGGTGGGAAAATCTACCAAAGTGGAAGGTGATATTCTGAAAGAGAATAACATTTCCTACAAATTACTTCATGTATTTATTAAAATACTTAATTAAAGAAGCGCCTAAACTTGAAGGTTACTTGATTACGGCTACAAAAAAAGAAACTTGAAAAACTCCGCTTTAATGTATTGTAACCAGTATTCTTGTGTTTAGTGAAATCTGAGGCTTACCTTAGGATCGAATTTATTTAATAGGAAAAAAAAAGAAACTTGAAAAACCCCCGTTTTAATGTATTGTAACCAGTATTCTTGTGTTTAGTTAAACCTTACAGGAGGTCTAGCCGTTATAATATATCTGTTACTATATTCACATGTTATGTACAAAGTCCAAACTGTCTTGCTATACCTGTAATCCTTAAGGCCTTACCTTGTGGAGACCTAGGTTTCTACGTCGAAACATTATCGCCAGTCCTTTGTCTCATAGGCTAGCTAAACTTTTAGTTTTCCAACTCATAATTGATATTGTCGAGGTTATTAATATAAAGGTTTTTAAATGTTATATGAAGCTACGTGTGCGTAAAAAACTAGTTTTTAAAAAGGAAACATTAATAGTTTACTTCTAAATTAAAATTTAAAGCCATATCTGTCGAAATTTGGTTGAGCGAGTTGCGCAGCAGCCTCCAAGAAATGTTTAGTAGAAACTAAAAATGGATTGACCTTTAATTTTCTCTGCTTATGTTGTGATTTGTCAGATGGATTGCTCCAGTACCACGAGAACATGACGTCGATGTGGATGGTCGACGACTACGGAAGACTCCGGCAGATCCAGCTGACGGCCAAGCCTCAACACAGTCAACGGCCATTAGTGAACGTACAAGACCACGTCTACTACTTCCTATACACCAGGTGGGTCTGCGGACACACAACAATACAATACAACAAATACATTAGAGAATTCGTTCATAACAAGGTTATCGATAATATGTACTAAAGCCGTGTTTATTCATATTTCAGGAAGTATAATAGCGCGTACCAACTGATCAGGGGCGACACTACGCGGCTCAAGTATTCCACTTTTAACCCTGAACGACCAACCAAAGTGGTAGTCCACGGTTTCTGGAGCAATTACCAGAGTGATGCTGTCCAAGTAATACGTGAAGGTAATCAATCACCTTGGACTATTGCTAGGCTACACAAACACTTTACAAAGTCGAAAAGTAATTAGCGAACGTTAAATTTCGACTTGCTATTTCGAAATTTAAACATGGAATGTAAAAAATTCGTTAAAATGTATTTTACATAATGTTAGAAACCTGTGATAAAACTAAAAAAGTATATGTTTGTATACATTTGATAACCATAGAATAAAATATACAACAATTGTATTAAATTATTATCTATTTGATTCATGACGAAAAAGTTCACAAGAATTGCGTCCTTCTCCAGTACTTTACAATACTTATCGTCAATTATGTTTAGAAAAAATATGTGAATTTCTTTCACGATAAAAAAATCGATTTTCTTTTGAGAAAAAATGAGTTTACACCGTTGTTGAGTTTTGGATTATAAATATTTAATCTGTTCATCTATTTTATTTATAACGAATAAGTTCACAAGAATTGCGTCCTTCTCCAGTACTTTACAATACTTATCGTCAATTATGTTTAGAAAAAATATGTGAATTTCTTTCACGATAAAAAAATCGATTTTCTTTTGAGAAAAAATGATTTTACACCGTTGTTGAGTTTTGGATAATAAATATTTAATCCGTTCAATGTGGTGGTTCACAGCCTATCTGAACGCCGGAAGTGACGTGAACGTGATAGGTGTCGACTGGAGCTATCTATCGGCTGGACCGTGGTACCTGGAGGCGGCAAGTAACACAGAGCCTGTCGGCCAACAGATCGCTCTGATGATAGATTTCCTGGTGTCCACGACCGGCGTTGACGTGTCCAACATTCACCTGCTGGGTCACAGTCTCGGCGCGCACGTCTCTGCGTTCGCAGCCAATAAAGTGACGTCTGGAAGGATAACGAGGATTACAGGTATAGCAAGACAGTTTGGACTTTGTACATAACATGTGAATATAGTAACAGATATATTATAACGGCTGGACCTTTTACAGGTCTAGCCATGACACGCAATCAGATGGATTCAGGTAAAAATTCAGGTATAAATTAAATTAAATTTAATTTAAACGATAATAAACTTGAAACAGACTTAGCACTATCTTCCATTTTATCAGAAATTGAAAATGTGCCAAACGAACTTAAAAGGCCCCACAGTGATGCATGTTCATTATCACCGCAAAATACAAAAAACGATTCATTCAGAAAAAACTAGATATAGCCCGCACAATAAAGGACCCTTCGAGGTCATCATTATGAAAGAGGATAAGACCAAAATAAGCCCTTTCACAATAGGAAAATTGCTCAAATCAAATAACAAAATCAACTCAGTAAGATCTGGTCTTAATGTAACTATTACATGCCGAAACTACAAATCCGCCGATGATCTATTGTTTTGTAGTACTCTAAAAGGATGTCAGGTAGTTATACCTAGACTAAAAATACACTCTGTTGGAGTAATTAACATGGATCCAGATATCTCTGAGGACGAGTTCCCCGCTGATGCAGTTAGCGGATTTCCTTTTGTCACTGCTGATACAATCAAAAGAAAGCTAAATGAGGATTTTAAAGATACATACTTCATGAAAATTATATTTAACTCAAATTTTCTACCAAAAGAGGTTAAATTAAATCTTGTAATAGAGGTGGAACCATACATCATTCCAGTGAAGCAATGCTTCAGGTGTTTTCTTATGGTCATGTAGCCTACATGCCCCTACATTAAAACTCGTATTTGCAGAAATTGCTGTGAAAATTGCCACAATGTTGATTGTATCAGTATCGTTAAATGCGTCCACTGCAACAAAACACAGCAGTACTTAAAAAAAAATGCCCCGAGTACATCCGACAACTTAATATTAAAAATGATATGAGTATTAACTGACTGGACTATTTCACCGCAAGCAAACGGTCCACCTACAAATCAAATAACCAACATAAACACAATTTAATACGAGTAATATCCTACTCACAAGCGGCTAAATTTGGAATAAACACCAGAGACACAGAAGACTTTCCTGCCCTAAATAAAAAAATATTATTTAGGCAGTCTAAAAGAGAAAAAAATTTTAGAATAACGCATGGCCAGTTACACACAACCAATATGAGATACTCAGTAACCTTGAAGAAGAAAAAGTTAGGCCTACTCAACACTCAAACAGTAAAAAAAAGAATGATATTGCACCTGGAGTGGATAATATAGCATATTCTCTCTATATATACATATATCTGAAATAAATAAGCAACTTCCGCCATCTTCGTATTTCAGATATATATGTTAAACTCGCCTTTGGCTCGCTGGGGGCTCCGCCCCCAGGCCCCCTAGCTGTTAGTCGTCATTAGTAGATTAGAGTTTAGTTTGTACAATGCAGTCAGTGAAACAGTCAATATTACGTTACATAAAAACAATTTTAGGAATTATTACAAGAGGTTGGCAAGGTAATTTCAAGCTCCAACTTAAAAAACCCTTAAAAAATCTATTTTAAAGTTGCTGAAATAGAGTATGATAGTAAAGTATTTTTACAACTGAGTTTTTGGTCAAACGAAGTGATAATACAATTGGGGTTGTAATAGCGAAAATCGATATAGAAGTAATAACCATCTCACGAACATATTATAGTAGATTGATAAGTTTAACAGTAAAGTATTATTATGAAGTATATAGATTATAGTAAATAAGTTATTTTTGTTTCCCTGTCGGTTAGCCACAAACTGTATGGCATATCCAGTTCCGCCACGAGGAGGCAGGAAACGTCGGAACCATATTTACAATTACTTATAAATGTACAAGTTAGTAAACTTTTGTATAAGATTGATTAGTATGTCGATTGATAAGTGAATACGTTGATAATAGTAAAGTATCATATTAAATAAATAGATTATAGTAGATATTCATGTATTTATTTATGAAAATAGATCAAGTAATGTTTGTTTTCCTGTCGGTTAGCCATAAAATTTATGGCATATCCAGTTCCACCACGGGAAGGCCAGGAAACGTCGGAACCATATTTACAATTATTTACAAATGTACAAGTTAGTAAACTTTACTAACTACTTTATACAACAACGGAGACTTTGGATAAGGCAGGCCCCCTATCGTACTGCCGATGTTGTCAAGTCACAACGGGGAGTTTTGATTAAGCAGATCCCCTAGCCTACTGCTAATGTCAAATCAGGTTTAGAGAAGGAGATCGCCATATACGACATATATCTGAAATAAATAAGCAACTTCCGCCATCTTCGTATTTCAGATATATATGTTAAATAAGGTAGGGCTCAATACACTTCCTTGGGGAATCCCTCTATTTGTAAGCCTAGAGTGACTATGTTCTGGAAAGAATAAGGATGAATTTGTTTGGTATTCCGAATTTGTACATTTTGATTAGTAGATTAGGTATACAGGGTTAGTAAAAAGAGTGGAGACCCCCTGTTATTTTTTTAACGGCTCATACTAGAAAAACTAAACTCGGCACACCCTTATGGCATGTTATGAAGTACTTTTTGGGCATAACCGCCACTTGGTGTACACCCCCAAAATGGAAGATTTTTAGGGACACTCAAATATTTCAACTATAAAGACCCATCGAGTGACCCATCATTTTGAAGGTCCTGGTAAAAGAAAACCAACAACGCAAACTAGAGGTCTCTATCTCAATTCAGTAAAAGTGGCAGCCAATTGAAATTCTCAGAAGTTAAATTTAACTTACAGCTTTCCATGTCTGGAGACCCCTGTAAATTTTGTAACGGCACACACTAGGAAAACTAAACTCTACACACCTTTTTGGCATGTTATGAAGTACTTTTTTAAGCCTAATAGCCACTTGGTTCCCAAACCCAAAATAGGGTATTAAGTTGTCTTACGTTTGTTAAATTTTTTATTTTGAATTGAAATAATAAATTTAATCCAAATTAAGTTACCGGCTAAAAAGTCAAAGTGAAATTGTTTGTTCGGACATTGATAAGCCGTTGTAGAAATTACATTAGCATGGTAAAATATCCTCCAGGCCAAGTTATTTAATCGTCTGCAAAAGTTAGCCCCTTCGTCCACTTGTAGCTTCAATTGGTTTGTACACACATAAAATCGTACATATTGTCTAACTTTTCCGTTTAAGGTTTTGTGAAATAATTGCAGGAACTCGACAAATTGTACTTAAAACTAAATACGATACCTTCACACAGTAATAATTTTACAAATCATTATATACAAAACTATGCGTTAAGACATATCGCACAAGAATGAAAACATTGTATTGATTAATTAGGCTGTGTTGAATCCAGGATTAGACCCGGCATTGCCGCTGTTCTCCAGTAGACCTCCTGAGAGTCGCCTCGACCCCACGGACGCCGACCTGGTCGACTGCATCCACACCTGTGGCGGATACTTGGGCTTTTGGCAACCTTTGTGCTCCCTGGACTTCTATCCGAATGGTGGCACCGCCTCACAACCCGGCTGCCATTGGGATCTCTTAGGTAAGAATCCGGTCGAGAAGGTTCTACTTAAGTTTGATAACATTTCACAGCAGCTATATCTCATACCTGGTGTTTTGTGACAGGGGCTTGCAGCCACGGGAGGTCGTACAGGTACTACTCGGTGTCTGTTACCTCGCAGTTCGTCGCCCGAGCCTGCGCCTCTCTGGACGAGGTACAGCGAGGTCGTTGTAGCGGTCACGTCGGCGTCATGGGCGACCCTGCCCCCACCACGTCAGTAACTTTTTATTAACTATGCACTTTCGTGAGCACGATTGAATACCTGATAGAATATTGCATAAATGTTTCTCAATAGAATGTAAACAGGAAAATAATTACGGTAAGCCCAAATATATTTTTAGCTCGTTTATAAATTTTTATGACAGTCGGAAGGTAAAATACCCCCGCAGCAGCAAATCCAAAGTAAGCGAATTTCAATTTGTGTGTGATTGGATTATTTACTAAAGTTGTTTTTTTCATAAACAAGACATATTTAACCCTCATTAAAAAAAACATTTGATTTCACGAGTGCTTAGGTTTGCTGCTTTGGGGAAGGTAAAAGTGTAATTGACCGAATATCTGTAGTATAGGATGAAATACCTCTCCCACCCTACACCTCTAAGCCAACTTTAATCAATATCGGAATAATTTCTCCGATATTATCGCGTTCATGGATGTATTAATCAGAGACACACTACGTGAGTCACATTTCGCTCGACCAGGCAACATCGTGGCAACAATGCACAGGAGTTCTAAGCAGGCGATGGCGACTGCAAAATAATTTGCATGAATGACAAAAACATCAGAAAATTCATTCTGAAGAAATCATTCTGAAAACATTCGAACTGCTGTATAAAAATTAAATAAAGTTGGCTCAGAACTTAACAACAATGGTCTTTTGGACCGTCTGTTGGTTGCCTTGTTGAAAAATATTAAGAAGAATGCATATTATTTAAATAGCGTTATACGAATGGCTTTACTAGAAGATTAGGTTGGATATAATTTTAATTTACAATAAAAATCTAAGGAGAAATACTTTTAATTAAAAGAGAAGTTTTAGAACACAAATTTATTTGCACCGGTGTAAATGGATACCACTTGTCAGTTTAAGACCCAATCTCAATGAGCGAAGCGAGCGAATAATAGGTACAGTAGTAAAATATATTACGACTTGTAATATAAGGTAGTTGAAGTAAATTATTATAATGAAGTAATGATTTTCCCTAATGAAAAAAGAACATTTGAAAATATTGATTGAGAACTTGTTTGAATAAATAACAACTGTATTTTTTCAGGAAGCCGGGCTTGTACTACTTAGAGACTACAAGTGACTACCCATATACAGTATAAAAACCTAAACCTTTTCATTACATTTGTGATGTTTATTGAAAATATTTCAAATGATTCACGTTCTACGATAGAATCTAATGTGGTTGTAATCCTAACCATGCATATTATCATGTATATAATATTTTACTTTTGTATTAAACATGTATATTGACTAATTGTAGTTTTAATCGCCCCAAAGGATTATTCGATCTTCGGATATTTTTATACTTAGTGAAATTTAGTTTCATAAGAATTTCGATAGATAACAAAATACATAATACATAATAAGAGCTTAGTCTGCAGGTTTGCAACGGCGGGGGTATTTTCTTTCTAGAATTCATTTTGGGTTCCCTTTCTCACATTAGAGGCTCTGGTTAAAGGGAAGTAGCAAATCAAATTCAGAAAGTATGCTACAGTTTGCAAGGTCCTTAATCTTAAGCGTCAAGTAAACTGGTTAATGCGGCACCTCGACCATGTTTTAAATGACAGTGGAAACTTAACAGACTTCTTGAATCTACTCTTAAACTAACAAAAGTTAGGAGAAAGAAGAAGGGAAACGTGTAGTCACTAGCGTGGATAAACTTCCAAAGGCTTGCAAAAATAGATTACCAATATCATGGGAAAAATACAAAGGCTTGAAGGAATGATGTGTTTTAAGAGTCATTCCAGTAGACTTTCATCAATTTTATGAAAATCATCCTCATGGTGAGAGGGTTTCTTTAAGAGCGAAGAAAAGTAGAGCTTCCAGAGATGCGAAAAAACAGAAAGTGGACATACAAAAGAGTAATAAGGAAAAATGTAATGTAGGCTTACATTGTTTGGAATGATAATGAGTGCCTTTTTAATTAACCCTTTATTCCCAAGCTTATGTAGTAGGGCGAATACGCCAAATGTTTCACTTACGTTATGGTAAATGGGCGAATATCAAGTATTTTCTCATTAAAAACTGTTGTCATCCTTATAAAAGGCTATTTTACTCTCATTATGTTATTTAAAAGAGACGAACATTTTTGTTACTTCCAATAAATATGAAAACTTTATAATTTTGTTTAGTTTATCCTCACATCACACATCAGTGTGTTGTGTGGCTGATGTATTGTCTTATTATTATTATTAAGTGGAGATGATTATTGTCTTATCCTTCTAGTCTCTGTGCTGTATGTTCGAGTGGTATCAACAATTGAAGATTGATTCAATACACTAACCTAAACAGCACAGAGTTTGGAGGAGAATTTGCTATATAAGTTTCCTCCACAATAGTTTGGACATGCAAACCTCTATCAGAAAACTGACCTTTTGTTGGACTTTCACTTGGTTTTACATAACCGAATATAAACATGGAAGCGAAAGCTAAAGCAGCCGAAGTTCAAGAAGAAATTCCAGACGAAACATTATAAGTGGGTAGCATATTATTGCCATTAACCTATGAGGAAGGGAATAACGTTGATGTAACTGACCTCTTAAGTGGCGTTGCTGAATTACTTCCATTGGAAGATGAAGCTGAGGTATACGAACACTTTTTAGGAGACCTTCTTGGGAAAAACTTAATATAGCAAAACACCAAAAGAAGAATCAAGAAGAGAAAAGGCATTTATTTATACTCTGAGCACTCCTGATGGAGAGAAAAAAACTAAATAAATAAATGGTGAAATTTTACATTGAAAAATATGACATAATAATACTACAACAGAGTCATAAATTGAAAACACATTGAGTGTCTTACTCTTAGACATCTCAATCAGATCACAGACAAACTGTATGAGGAGGACGAATAAAAATTATTCACTATTAAACCCTGATTAATAATTAAAAAAAGAGTTTTTTTCATGCAAAGAGATCAAACACGAGGTACACTTGATTAAATCTAAACACTGTAAAATTTAATACCGTAGATCGGGGTGACTTTGTGCCAGGTGAAATTGTGACAACCTGTTTTGTTTTGGTTATTTAAATCTCCCGCCAAAACGAATGGTCATAGAAACCACTGCCACTGGTTAAAATCATCGTGATTCGTGCTGCAACCTGGTGGCTATTCAGTGAAGTTCTACTGCAACTCCATGTGTAGAGTACACAAACGTATTTCACAAGTTGGATTTTGTTTGTTTTTGAAAAACTCCCAAACTTTGTATTGTCAAGCTCAACACGCTGATTGGATGATAAATTCAGGTAAATGTAAATATTACATAGATATGGTTTTGTTTTCAGATATAACATACATAGAAATACCAGACAAAAGAACCAGGTTCAAGACAAAAGAATATATACAAAGAAATGCAGATAGTGCCACTAGTACCTTCCCCCCTAAATCGCCTGGTGGTCAACCCATTTTCACCCGAGAAGAAGAGGAACGATTTGTAGCTCATGCAGTGACAATGTCAACATTTCGTTTTCCTATGACAGCATTTGCTTTATGATGTACCGTCAAGGCCTTTTTAAACAGATCAGGAAGAGTTGTAAAAAAGTTCAAAAATAACTTACCTGGCAAAAAATGGGCAGTAAGTTTTATTAAGAGATACAATAAAATAATCTCAAAAACATAACATACTCTAGAGCTGCAACTGATGAAGCCATTATTGGAGACTTCTTTTCCAAATTAGAAGACGAGTTAAAAGATATTCCTCCCTCAAACGTTTGGAACTATGATGAGACCAACTTGGTCGACGACCCCGGAGCTAAAAAAGTCATCACAAGGCGTGGGGCTAAGTATCCTGAGCGGATAAGAAATTCATCCAAGGCCTGCACTTCAATTATGGTCTGCAGAAATGCTGCAGGAGAGTTGGCTCGTGTTTATGTCAATTATAAAGCTGAAAAGATGTGGTCAACATGGACTGAAAACGGCCCATTAGGAGCCCGTTATAACCGAACTAAATCTGGGTGGTTCGACCACAATGTATTTGAAGACTGGTTCATTTCATTGATGCTCCCAATTTTAAAGAATCAGGAAGGTACTAAAGTAATAATTGGGGATAATTTGTCCTCACATATTAATTTAGAAGTACTCCGTCAGTGTGAAGCCCATGATATCAAGTTCATCGCATTGCCTCCAAACGCAACACATTTGCTGGAACCCCTTGATGTTGCCGTTTTTCGACCATTGAAGATTAAATGGAGAAACACATTGGATAACTGGAAGCAAACTCTTTCTGGAAATAATTGTAGAAATATCCCATAGGACGAATTCCCTCGACTTCTCAAACAACTATTTATGGATATGGAGCCAAACATGAAGGCGAACCTGATATCTGGCTTTCGTAAGACAGGCCTCGTACCTTTGAACAAACAAGTGATACTGTCTAGACTCCCTACTACAACGATTGTTGAAAGTCTTTCCAGCCTAACCAGTTGCGTTAGTGACACCTTCCTGGAAGAGTTGAAAAGCCGGGGAGATGAAGTGACGAAACCCCAAGATACCGATAAGAAGAAAAGAAGGAAGAGGTTGAATGTTCCGGCTGGAAAAAGTATATTAGCGGCAGATGTAACAGAGATCATAGAAAATGAAAAAAAAACAGAGAAAGAAGAAAAGAGATTAGCAAAGAAAAAAGGAAAGAATAAAGAGAAAAAAATAAGTCCCAAAAAGGCAAGAAGAAAGATAAAATAGAGGAAGATGACACCGATATCAGCGATTTTTTTTTTTCACTTCAAGATTCTGACGACAGTCTAAATTTAGCAGATCTAATTCAAGAAGAAGGGGATGACTTTGAAGAAATTCTCTGTGAGACTCCAAGCCCCAAAAGAAGCAGTAATCTTCAGAAAAAAACCTCAGACGATGTTGCTCGTTTGCTACAACCATCAACAAGTACAAGCGACAAAGAGCCAGTAGTTTACCATGTAGACCAATAGTGGTCAACTTTGAAGGCAAACTTTACCCGGGTATAATAACAGAAATGAGAGGATATGAAAAATTCAAGATTTCTGTAATGACACAGTCATATAAACATTGAAAATGGCCCTCTAAGCCAGACGAGATTTCGTATTCAAAAGAAGAGGTCCTGTATCCTATCAAACCTCCCAGACTCATGAAGAAAGGGATTTTCCATATTCCCGGACTTCAGCAAATGTAAAATATTGCTTTTTTCTTGTAAAAAGTGTTCTTAATAAAATGTAGTGGGCAATAAAATGTAGCTGTAAAAGTTTTATTTTCCTATGTATTTTATGCATATGTTATACATGTCACAAAGTCACCCCACCTCGTGTGCTGAGTTTGTGACAAACTATTTATTTTTTTATAAATATATTTCACTAGTGCTTTAATTAGCCACAATTGTAAGTTTGAACTCTTTGAAATGGATACTCCATCTGTATTTAGATTAAGAGTTATATCGTATGACGATAAACTCATAGTTTCTTTTAGTTCCCGATATTTTTTGCTGCATAAAACATCATATATCCTAATCGGTTCTTCTTGGTTCACCATTATTTCATACAGGTTACGGTTCAGAAATAAATTAGATATGCACGTTTCAACTGATAGAGTTACAAAGTTGCCTCTTTCAAAAGAGTTGCAAACCTGACAACAACCTTCATTTTGGCTTTGCTCCCATAAATAGCTTGTACAGTTAGAACAGAATTAATGTATTTGAGGTTTGAAATAAGTTGTCAGTTGTTCCAAGTATTTCATTAGTCTGTACTTTGTTGAGGGCAGATTGTGTGGTTTAGGACATATTTCTACGATTAGTTTTGGAGTATCTTCAAAACATGACTTGGTGAGTTTGTGTTTTGCATAAATTTCTAAAAAGCAAGTTAAAAACATACCAACTGAATGGGAACTATTTTTGTACATTGGTAAATTTAAAAAAAATCACTCCCCATAGCTGTAGTCTCATTTAATTGTTGTTCTCTTTCATGATGGTCGTCCAACAAAAATTCAACATCAGATGCATCATCATTATCATCTTCATTACCACCTCCATCATCATCAGTGATACTATCTTGGGTTCTATACACCTCATCATCATCATCAGTGTTATCCCCATAATCATCCTCATCATCACTTTCATCCTCTTCATCATATTGTGGTTGTTTGTTTTGTATGGTACCGTCATCATTTTCTTCAGTTGGTTGTTGACAGTTGGAAGGGCCAGGTTGTTCTATACCATTATGAGCACCACCACATGATTTACTTTATCTTATTCTGCAAAATGTCCTATAAGGTACACCCTGTAAAAAAAACACACATGAAAGCATGAGTTTACAAAATTGAAACAAATATAACAATAAAATCTAAGTTCTTACCGTCAACGCAATCAGGAGTAATATTCCACTACGGCCGTTTCGGAGATGACTCCATCGTCAGGTGCGTAGTGGTACACTAAACTATAGTCTTGTCACATTTAACACGAGTTTTCTTCATTTGCATTGCGTCAGGGGGTGAATAAATAATACACATATATTTACAGGACGGACACACGAAAACACGAATACACGAAAACATTTAGAGCACGTGCACGGCTTGAAAACTGACGACCGACTGTTCAATCCTGGTCACTGCAGGAGTTACGTGGATGACTGGAACAGCTGATAACACGGTGTGCCAACCTTATCTACACAAATTAATACTTTCCTGTTTGATTTCCATTATTCTCTCAAAAATTGGATTGGCAGCTGAATTTGTTTGGGAGTTAATTACTAAGTTGGGTTCTATGGCTGTACTGCTGTAGATATGGAAATTTTCGATGCAATTAAGTTTGTGACTTTTATTGCCAATATGTAGTATTTCTAAACTGTTGATGTCGGAATAATCATGGCAATACTGTTGAATATGTTCGGCATAATTTGAAGTAGGGTTGGGTTTCTTAATGGCGCTTATGTGCTCTTTATATCTGGTTTTAAAGCACCTACCAGTCTGTCCAATATAATACGAGTCACATTCTCCACACTTAAGTTTGTAAACACCTGGCTTTTCCAACAATGGTGTATTCCTGTGTCGAGGAGCAGACAGCTTACGTTGGAGGCTATTACTGGTTCTGTAAGCAACTGAATAATTGTGTCTACTAAAAGGACGGGTTGCTAAACGTTGGTTTAGTTTACAGAACTCTAACGTGACGTATTTTTTATCATCCTTATCGGCTTTATTGTTGACTTTTTTCTTGACTCTCCTGTGCAGTTTATCAATTAATTCTGTGCTGTATCCGTTATTCAAAGCAATGTACTTTATGGTGTTTAATTCACGGCTATAGTTCTCTTCATTTAGAGGGATATTAACCAATCTGTGTAGCATGGAGTTATAGGCTGCGATCTTGTGGGATTGGGGGTGATTAGAACTGTTGTGGATGGTTGTATCTGTGCTAGTGGGTTTCCTGTAGATGTTAAAAAGGTGTTTATTGTCCGATTTGGTTATTGTCAAGTCAAGAAAGTTAATTGAAGCATTTTTCTCGTGTTCTGTAGTGAATTTAAGCCTGGGATGGATGTTATTAAGGTATTTTCCAAACAAATCAATTTGTCTATTGTTGCCTTTGAATAAACAAAGCACATCATCAACATATCGGTGCCAGTAAACGATCTTTCCTTTGTGCGCATTAATGTCGGCCAATATGCGCTGGTGTTCTAAGTTGTCAAGGAAGATTTCAGATAAAATTGATGATAAGGGCGAACCCATAGCTAATCCTTGTTCTTGTAGATAATATTTGCCGTTGAACTCAAAATAATTCTGTTTAAGTATAACTCTTAAAAGTGATACTAACTCAGCTATTTTATCATTTTCCAGAGATCCCTTGGTTCTTACATATTGTTCAACTAAGTCAATGGTTTCATCAATTGGCACACTTGTGTACAAGTTGGTTACATCAAATGATACAAACTGTGCGTGGGACGGAATATTTATGGTTCTGATCTCGTTAACTAAATGTGTGCTGTTCTTAACGCTGCAATTAGCTTTGAATTCAATGTTGTTTCGAATAATTTTGTCTATAAGCTTGCATAAATTGTAGGACGATGCATTAATAAAATTAACTAAAGGTCTGATCGGAATATTCTCCTTATGTATTTTTGGAAGCCCGCGCATTTTTGGAGCACTGGGGTTCATGACCTTGACCTGTCTCTTCTGATTAACATTAAGGAGGTGTTTACATTTATTAATAGCTCTATTGACTTCACTATGATACTGTTTGGTTGGATCTTTGGTTAAGCTAGTTATGTCGTTTGCTGCAATAAAATTATCTACTTTAAGAGTGTATTCGTTCTTATCTAAAACTACGACCGTATTACCTTTATCGGCCTTAGTGACAATGGCCTCATTGAGGTCAACCTTATCTTTTAAGCTTCTTAAGGCTGACAAGTCATTCTTAGCTTCATTTGAAAGCTTATCAATGCTGACCATAGTATGATTTCGTTGATTTATTTTATTAATGATCTCGTATCTAATTGGGTTTTGTTTATCATATTTTACTGTTTCAACACAACTCTCAATCTCTAAAAGGGAGTCAACCAGATCGTGTTTCGGTTTATGATGGAAGTTATATTTAAGACCTTTATTAAGTAAAGCTGTTTCTTGCTGGTTAAATTCGATTGATGTTAAGTTTACTATTCTTGGATGAAATTTGTGAGGACATGAGATAACTTTGGCTGTGTCATTTTTTACTTTAATTAAATTATCAAGCTTCTTAAGCTGGGTTAATCTTTTTTCTCTAATGATGGGTCTTATCCAATCGTCAACAGCATTGATAACAATTCCAAAACAGTGTCGATACAGGTTAGACAAATCCAAATGAATCTTTAGGACTTCTTTTGTTAAACGGTCTTTTTTACCGTACAGTTGCCTTATTTCTTCCTTAAGCCAAGCTTTTTTACCTATATGCACTGCTCTTTCTGCAGCTGGTGTATTTGTGTTTGTAGAGATATTGATATACTTTGGAAACAGTGTATTATTCATACAAAACTTGTTAAAGGCTATATTGAGCTTAGTTTCTTCGATTTTTAGTTTAGTGTACTTGAACTTTGCCACGGTGGATTGACTGTCCAAAATCATATTCTTGAGTGTGGCAGATTGCGTGAAAATATAATAAAATCTAAGTTCTTACCGTCAACGCAATCAGGAGTAATATTCCACTACGGCCGTTTCGGAGATGACTCCATCGTCAGGTGCGTAGTGGTACACTAAACTATAGTCTTGTCACATTTAACACGAGTTTTCTTCATTTGCATTGCGTCAGGGGGTGAATAAATAATACACATATATTTACAGGACGGACACACGAAAACACGAATACACGAAAACATTTAGAGCACGTGCACGGCTTGAAAACTGACGGCTTGTTGACTGACTGTTCAATCCTGGTCACTGCAGGAGTTACGTGGATGACTGGAACAGCTGATAACACGGTGTGCCAACCTTATCTACTCAAATTAATACTTTCCTGTTTGATTTCCATTATTCTCTCAAAAATTGGATTGGCAGCTGAATTTGTTTGGGAGTTAATTACTAAGTTGGGTTCTATGGCTGTACTGCTGTAGATATGGAAATTTTCGATGCAATTAAGTTTGTGACTTTTATTGCCAATATGTAGTATTTCTAAACTGTTGATGTCGGAATAATCATGGCAATACTGTTGAATATGTTCGGCATAATTTGAAGTAGGGTTGGGTTTCTTAATGGCGCTTATGTGCTCTTTATATCTGGTTTTAAAGCACCTACCAGTCTGTCCAATATAATACGAGTCACATTCTCCACACTTAAGTTTGTAAACACCTGGCTTTTCCAACAATGGTGTATTCCTGTGTCGAGGAGCAGACAGCTTACGTTGGAGGCTATTACTGGTTCTGTAAGCAACTGAATAATTGTGTCTACTAAAAGGACGGGTTGCTAAACGTTGGTTTAGTTTACAGAACTCTAACGTGACGTATTTTTTATCATCCTTATCGGCTTTATTGTTGACTTTTTTCTTGACTCTCCTGTGCAGTTTATCAATTAATTCTGTGCTGTATCCGTTATTCAAAGCAATGTACTTTATGGTGTTTAATTCACGGCTATAGTTCTCTTCATTTAGAGGGATATTAACCAATCTGTGTAGCATGGAGTTATAGGCTGCGATCTTGTGGGATTGGGGGTGATTAGAACTGTTGTGGATGGTTGTATCTGTGCTAGTGGGTTTCCTGTAGATGTTAAAAAGGTGTTTATTGTCCGATTTGGTTATTGTCAAGTCAAGAAAGTTAATTGAAGCATTTTTCTCGTGTTCTGTAGTGAATTTAAGCCTGGGATGGATGTTATTAAGGTATTTTCCAAACAAATCAATTTGTCTATTGTTGCCTTTGAATAAACAAAGCACATCATCAACATATCGGTGCCAGTAAACGATCTTTCCTTTGTGCGCATTAATGTCGGCCAATATGCGCTGGTGTTCTAAGTTGTCAAGGAAGATTTCAGATAAAATTGATGATAAGGGCGAACCCATAGCTAATCCTTGTTCTTGTAGATAATATTTGCCGTTGAACTCAAAATAATTCTGTTTAAGTATAACTCTTATAAGCAAATTCAGCTGCCAATCCAATTTTTGAGAGAATAATGGAAATCAAACAGGAAAGTATTAATTTGAGTAGATAAGGTTGGCACACCGTGTTATCAGCTGTTCCAGTCATCCACGTAACTCCTGCAGTGACCAGGATTGAACAGTCGGTCGTCAGTTTTCAAGCCGTGCACGTGCTCTAAATGTTTTCGTGTATTCGTGTTTTCGTGTGTCCGTCCTGTAAATATATGTGTATTATTTATTCACCCCCTGACGCAATGCAAATGAAGAAAACTCGTGTTAAATGTGACAAGACTATAGTTTAGTGTACCACTACGCACCTGACGATGGAGTCATCTCCGAAACGGCCGTAGTGGAATATTACTCCTGATTGCGTTGACGGTAAGAACTTAGATTTTATTATATTTTCACGCAATCTGCCACACTCAAGAATATAAATATAACAATTTTAACAACAATAATATTTTAACAAATTTACAATTGTTTGAATTTTCTCCATAGCTAAATATACATACTAAAACACATCAAGATACGAAATAATTTGTTTTTTTTTAAGATCTACAAAATGGTTTAAATTGGGAAATTTATTTATGGCCAAAAATAAGAAGACCCTATTTTTACCCCAATAAAACCCCACATTTCCCACATGGTCCGATCATGCTGGTTCAACTCGTAAGATTAAATGTAGGGTTATTACCAAATTTCATCAAAATGGGATGACTTTATATCAAGTTATCGGACACAAAATACACACACACACACACACATATATATAACAAAATAAAACACATATATATATATATATATATATATATATATAGATCTTCTATATCTATAAAAGAGGAACTATGTATGTATGTATGTGTGTATATATGAATATACGGTATAGGGTCCAAAACCACTAGACAGATTGTAATAAAACTTTCAGGCATTATTAAGCATCTTTCAAGGATGTTTCGAGTGAAGTTTGGTGCAGATCCGTCAAAAGGGATTGGATACTTGCAATACGAAATTAAAAGGATTTATTATAATAAACAATTTCGGCATCAACATTTAAACAATACGAGGTGTTAGCCCGTCCTACGTACGGGAGTAGTCAGTTAAAACTGTTTAGGACTATAATTCAGAACAGCTATTAAACGTATAAAGACAAATTTTATTGCAGCCTACAGTAGAAAGAGTAATTATCAATTGAGAAGTGTGTAGGCCTAGTCAATGATAACACCTTCCATCGCATACCTGCCTCTTCCATAATCAATGTCAACACAATACAATTACCCATACTATACACAATTGTCAGTAGGTCTGAATTGAAACTCCCTAAAATAAGACGAAAACATCCAATAAAATTCACAGTACACATTACTATAACGTTAGTGTCCTGACATCATTAAACGAATCGTCCACACACATCCTTTATGTCAATTTCACTGCATCAATTGCTAAATATATAAGTGTAAACAAAGAAAAGTAAACACAACAACATATTAGTTTGTTTTGTAAACAGCTGAGTAAAAAATAAAATAATATTCATTTGAACAAAAGAACTGGTCACATGTTGAAGAAATTTAAAAAGTAAAAACGTTAGTAAAGCTAGTGACGTAATTAATGGTCTATGTTTATTATCCATATCGTTTTCAGTTCTAATATCCTTGATAATTAAACCACCCTCATTGAATCAATGTACTTTGTAATTCCCGATATTCATTTATTTAAACTATACCTCCAAACGTAACCACAACTAAACACACGCCAAACAACTTTTTAGATTTCATAAAAGGATGGTTAGTCTAATTGCAGTATCCTAGGTCAATGATGACGTTGTGTTCAATCTATGTCATTCATCTGTATATCTTTGTATAAAACCCGGCTGAGGTTGTGGTGGTAATTTAAAATCGTGATTCCTGATTATTCTTGATCTTCTTTTTATGACATCAATATTTCCAGGCCTAATCCAAACTTAGTTAAAGCAGATAAACATTAATTGTAAACAAAAAGCTACCATGAGGAATTAAAACATGTAAACTTTGTTATTTTTCTAATCTTTCCTTGAAAAGTGGAGCAGTAAAATAATTTGCATTTACCCTTTTTTATTAAGACCCGTATACAGGCCTCGATTTGTACTGTGGTTTAATTAATTTTGGTTAAAACTGTGGTTTAAACTGTGGTCTAATTATCTCTACTAATCTTACTTATTTCCTATAATCAATGACAAAAATAAAATAACCTCATAGTTCCATAGTTTATATTTAACCAGCTGTTAGTTAAAACAAATTATATTGCTCTAAAACAAATCGAAGATTACAAAGATTGCTTTAAAAAATAATTTGAACATCCTAGTATTTTACTATGTATATTTAATTAATCTGCCATCCTCTTACAGAAGAATTGAACGTATCAATGATTAGCATTACACATAGTATAAATAAGTCAACCCTAGGTATGTCTTTACATTTTTATCCAAATGCTGAATTTGTGACACAAAAGCTGAATGTTTACAGCTGTTATGTTAAGCAAATTATTTTATGCCAAAAGCTAGTTTAGAATCTTAGCGTCGGCTGCTAGACTTTTTAAAAATTAAAACTTAATTTCTAAAAAACTGGGACCCTAAACTAAAATTATGGCTTCGACATTCCCTAGTTCTCAAAATTATCTTTCTTTCAACCCAAAAATCATGAAAATCCGTAGAGTGGTTGATTCAGAATCGTGAAATAAAAAAACACTGTTTCATTTTAATATTATAGATTTCGAAAACTGCAAAAAACATTGGTTTGCCGATTGCCGTACCAACGATTACACAACAGGTTGTAATTCGCTCCACTACTGGAGTGACTGGAAGTGTGGAACTCCGATCCGA